CTCACATCAGGGAGCGCGAGGAAGATCTGGGAGGAAGGGGCAGAGGAGATGGTGGGGAGTAGGCGGATAGGGAAGATGGCCCGATGTGGAAGGGGTTGAGAGAGAGAGAAGTAGCAAATCTGGGTGTCAATAGACCTTGGGGTGCCACAGGGGAGGCCTTGCCCGATGGCCTGCCCTGCAAGGGGTGCGCGGGGCGCTGCTGCTGCCCCAGTGGTCCCGCTGAGTACCAGGTTCTGGCCCTTTCGCTTGCAGGTTGCCCAGCTGCCGCTGAGCCTGAAGGACAAGGCCTGGCACCACATCTGCGTGGCATGGACCACCCGGGACGGCAAGTGGTCGGCCTACCAGGACGGCGAGCAGCGGGGCGCCAGTGAGAACCTGGCCTCCTGGCATGCCATCAAGCCCCAGGGGGTGATAATCCTTGGCCAGGAGCAGGTTCGTGCCATGCCAGCCCGTCACCGCGGTCCATAGGGCAGGCCCGGGGAGGGGGCAGGAGCCCCAGGATGCTCCAGTGTTGCAAGCCTCATGCAGTGGTGCCCCCAAGTGGGGCTGGGGTTTGGGGGCAGGAGTTCCCGGCATGGGGTGCTGCAAGCGCGGCCTCATCTGTGCTTGGGCAAGGGGCTCTCTTGGCCGGTAGCCCGTCCTCCAGACAGACCATGTGTGCTCATCATGCTCCCTCCTCCCTGCCATCCCTCTCCTCCTCTCTCTGCTGCATCCGTCCATCCGCTCCCCTCCTTGCTTCTTGCTTCTTCTGCCCAAATTGCTTCTTTCCCCGTCTCTCTCTCCTCTCTCCCGCTCCCTCCCCTGCCCTGCTCCAGGACACACTGGGCGGCCGGTTTGATGCCACACAGGCCTTCGTGGGGGAGATCGCGCAGTTCGGTGTCTGGGACCACATGCTGGCGCCGGCGGAGATCCTGGCCCTGGCCAACTGCACCTCCCACCTGCAAGGCAACGTGATCCAGTGGGATGACCAGGCGGTGGAGGTCTTTGGGGGCGCCGGCAAGGCGAGCTTCGTGGCCTGCGAGGAGAGGATGAAGGCGTGAGCGGCCCCTCGCCCCCCACCCACGGGAAGGAGCATGGCAGTGACCCCC